TTCGTTTCATATGTGTGTGTGCATGCGTGCATGTAATTTCATACAGGAAACTTGGGAAAAGTAGGCAAATAAACTGGAAAGCAACCAGCAGGTGCCTATGATGTTGGAGGTGATGTAAGAAGTGGTCAGATAGGATAACTCAGGTTCTGGGAATGAAACCACAGGCAATATCACCTAAACAGAACTGTCTCCCACCTGGCCATAAACTGAGAATATGCCATTAACAGGATGAGCCACATGGATGGGGGCTCAGTGGGGTGTACTTCTACCATCCCTATTTCATTAGCAAGATTTGGGTAGGCTTCCAGCTTGGGTGTTGTGACTCATCATCTGGAGGAGTCTGTATTGACTCTGGGGGGTGCCCTGGCACCTACCCAAAAGCCCTGATGGTGAGATTATTCTAAAAATCACATCAGTTAAGCTCTATATGTTTGCCATTAAATATGCAAAGGAACTAATTTAATGCACCTTTGAAAACTGTGTCCTTTTCTTTTACCTTTTAAACCTATAGCCCAGAAAGGTCCATGTCTACAGATCCTATCACAGCACTCTGACATTGGCAGGGCACTTGCAACTTGCTGTAACATAAACCAGAACCAGGGCTGAAGATCTTCCTTTACTTTTCCAGGCATTACCTTTAGGTACTTCTTGATGTCTGCTCACAGACTTTGCTCCCACAGAGCCCAGACTTGCTCCTTCTATTCAGTCAACACATATTATTAGCATATTCATGAGCAGTTCAGTTGCCATCAATGCCTTTACTCACAGGGTATGGTACTACACGAGGAATATATTTGGCAGGCCCAGGCCCTGATTAATATCAGATGTTTGTGTCTCCTAGAAACACATTACTCCCACTGGGATAGCAATGTTTGGGTCTGAGAGGAGGCCTCTCTCTTTAGAAAGCGTGCTTTGAGAAACGAGGCCGGTTCAGGAGAACCCCAGAGAAGGCAGAAGAGAGTATACGAGGTTCCCAGGACAATGCTTAAATTTAAATGAGATCCTATAGTGATTTGCATAAGAAAGGATTGCATTCGTTGGACAAGTGATTCACATACAAGCAGACAATCCCTCTGCTGTTGACAAATGATCCTAAGGTTCAATGGGTGACATGTATTAGCCTTTTTCCTTGATGGAAAATCTCTTTAAGATGCATCTCAGTGCACCATTTGAACACCTCATACGTCTTTAGAATACTCTGCAATACTATATTAACCTTGTCTACCAACAATATGCAACTTGGTGTATCTTATTTTTGTTATATAAATAGCAGGTTATAAATGCTCGATAAATCTATAGGCCTCAACGGAATTTTGCCAAGTACTATCAAAACATATACAATAAGAAGCAATCCTGGCCTTCAAGACCATTTCCAGATACAAGCAGTAAAAGGGAACACAAACTAAAGTGATGAGTAACTTGCTGAAGTTCAGTCAGTTAGACCAACGACAGCTGAGAGTACAAAACAATTATCTTGACTCCAAGTCACTAGAGCAATCTACCTATGATACCGAGAGTGCTCTTGGGTTTTGTAATTCCATGTTACACCGTGACTTGATATTTATGTAGAAACATGCAGAATTTCTGGTCCAGTGTGAGGGGCTTCGTGTTCCGGAAGAGTAACAGGAACAGAAATACTGCTCCCAAACGAGCACTTTTCCTAAGGACAGTCATTCTAGGGCTAAAACTATTTTTTTTTTTTTGCCTTTTGTGTAAATGTATTGTGTAAAATATATACTTTAAAACAATGGTTACAAACGCTCTGTGTTGCCCGGAGCCGGCTGTTCTATTGTCTTTGGTGACCTCTCATCTGAAGCGTGGACCAAAGCCAGGCAGCGGCTGAAGCGTGTGTGGCGTGGAGAGATGAGAATATGAAATGGCAAGTCCCATTGTGTTCCTCTTTGCTTCCCAGTGAACAGCGTTTAATTCTCTTTTCAGTTGTCAGAATAGATTAGATAGATAAATTCTGGTATCAATAAGTGGTTTGTCTGATGACTTAGGTGTAGAGAATGTGTTTCACAGAGGAAACTCTCAAATGCATGATTAAGCCATTTGTGTTTTAGCACAGTGGTATAGCGCTTGTTTATGGAAAGTCAGATTTTGAAAAAAGCATTTGAACAATACAAAAATAATTAAATTAACAAGAGTCCTGGGGATAAAGGATTAATTTTCCCAGCAGGCTGCCTGTGTGGATGAAGACTGGGATATCAGTTCCACATAAGGCAGGTCTTTTCTAGCAGACCAGCAGTGCTCAGAGGTGTCCTTAGGAAGGCTCTCCCCAGGGGAACAGCATCGAGACGTAATTGTTCTAAGATAAATTAAAATGTGAATGACGGGAAGCAACCAAACAGAAAAATCTTATTGCAAAAGGGAGAGAAAAGGAATGGGCTATTATTTAGAAAGCTTACCAGCAGAAGACACTTGTATTAGCTTTCAGCAGAACGAAAGAAAGTCGAAAAAATGCTGACTCTTTATGGCCACCTCTGTAAGGGTCTGAAATCACAACACGGGCACAATCTCTAAAGGCTTGAGCACTGAGATATGGAAATGTTCCCTATATTTTTCTCCCAGAGATAGTGCAATATATTTTTCCCTCCTAAAATGGGATGAAAGTGGTTTATGAGGAGCATCATGTCCCCAGTTTGCTCCTGGCAGGCTGGCTCCCCGGAGGGCATTCCCTTGCCCGGGAAGCAGCTTGGCATCCTCACAGAGGTGGCAGTTGCCACCAGCCCCGCTGGGAAACAGCAGCGGGACAGCCTGCTCCTCGTCTCCATCACTATTAACAGGAACACGTTGCTTGTTGGTGCTCTCCAAATGACGCTGGGGGAAGGACATGTATAATTGTGGTAAAATTTTCTAAATACTGTTGAAGAAATGGCCATTTTATCAGTCTTCCTTAGGACTGGATGGGACAAGATTGTATAGTTACAGCAGCAGAATGAAATTAAATCTAGGCTAAATATTAGAATAGGGTGACAGGAACTCAGCAGGGTGTGGCTGAAGATGTTGTAAACCGATTGCAGAGGGCAAGAGAAAATAAATTCAGGGAATAATCCTACTCTAACAGGAGAGAGAGTTCAGAGGGACCACCAAGTCTTCACAAAACATTGTTCGGGTCCAAAAGGTGAGGCACAGCTTGGTCATTGCTCCCTCTCTAGCCTCAGAAATATACGGAGGAGAGAGCAGCTAGGGACTGGCACCCGCAGGCAAGTGGCTGTCTTATCATTTGTGAGGCTTTGGGGGAAAAAATGCTAGAAGGAACAGACCAGACACTGGACCCGGCACAGGAGCCTCAGGAGCTGTTCGAGCAGCAGCTCTGGACAGGCTGTTGCTGTGAATTGTGGTGGGCTCACTCCAAATATCCACCGCCTTTGTGAAGAGGCTGCTCTCTCCTGCCCGATGCCACTGGGGACGTTGTGCTCCTCGGCTTCACCATCCCCCCTAGCAGCCCCCTCCCTGGTGTATTTCCAGAGGATTTAAATAACACAACAAAAGGAATAACACAATTGCGGCGCTAACGTGCAGCTCGCCAGCCCGCAGGACGACGACTCCGCCTGTGCCCTGTTGCATCTATCCCTCCCTTCCCCTTGTCGACTTCATCTGCAAGGACTAAGCACAGTGCCACCTGGCCTCAGCTGTAATAGAGACCGTCAATGCTATTAGCAAAGCAGGGAGGGTTTGCCAGCAAGAAAGGAAGCCAGTAGGAGCAGGACTTCGTAGTCACAAAGACTTGTTTATATAAACAGTAAATTAGAGACTGGCATAGCTCGATGTTTTACATAAACTTTATTGCTTTGGAGAAGATTGCATACAGTCTATCAGGTTACTTCAGCAGCAGGTCAAATGTTTAGTATGTGTGATCCGGTCTTTCTCTTTCCAGCTACTCAGCATAATTCTTAGCAGGATTTTATGCTTTAAGAGTAACTAAAACTATCAGCATCCTCTGGGACCTCTGTTCCTACTGGGGTTAATGACATTTTGGGGGAAATTCCTAACTATAACCCGAAATTAAAAAGAAACGTACTGTATTTCTGTGGAAATTCAATAGCATCTCTGTGTCGTTTCCTAATATGAGTATCTGAAAATGTTCTTTTTAGACAAAACGTACTGCCAGTGTCAGAGAACATTTTCTTCAACCCAAAGGTTTTTATTTGTTTTATTTTTTGTCATACAACACCATCTCAAGTTTTTTCATGAGTAAAAATTGAGGGTTCTTGAGAGGACAGCTTTTTATTCTGAAAAGAGCAAGAGAAAAAAAAAAGATGTAGCTGTGATTGCTTTAATGAAGTGCATTTTAAAAATCCCTGGTGGCAAAAGATTAATCACCTAGCAGTGAGAAGGGTATCGCTTAAGGAAGTAGCACAGACATCACGCTTGCGAGTGCCAGTTTAAGGTACTTCCCTCTCCCCTTACTTTGCATTGCTCATTCTGCCTCCCTGCCATGGCACACTGTTCCCTGCCTCGTGCTGGCACAAGTATTCCTCTTGTCGCATTATTATTCTGGGAGCTGACCTGGCTTTTAGAAGAAAAAAAATGGGCTGAGCTGTTTTCCTGATAAAGGAGACCTCTACACCAGCTTACAGTCTGGCAACACCTGGAGAAGTGCTGGCAGAGCTGAGGGCACCTACGCTACGGCGTGGGGGCAAGAAGCAGCAGCTACAGAAGTACCATAAATTGGAATGGCTGCTGAAGTCTTTCTCTTGCCAAGTCATGAGCTTACTCTCTACTTCTCTGCATCAGTTCTTAGCCAATGCTTTTTCTCTGATGTCAGTGGAGTCATACCCATTTTCCATAGGTAGAACGCCACTGACAAGGGGACATGTTGTCTGGGGGTCCCTTTGCCCACAGCTATCTGTGATTTCTCCTGTACTTAAAAACGAGAACTTCAGTTTCAAATTCCTGCTCGCTTTAACCCCGTGTTACCATTTGTACAATTACTTATAGTCAGACCTAACTTTAAAATTAGAAATTGAAAAAAGCCCTGTAAAAACAGAATACAGAGTCCTTATGCCAGTCATTAAAAAATAAAAGGAATCAAGGCTTTCCTTGATTTTGGATAGTCCGTAAATGTCTTGAGATAGTATCTGAAAGAAAATAAGCAAGAGAGTGAAACTGCATACATGCAAGAAAACTGCACAGTTTCAATATAGCTCAGCTATATTGAACCTTAAAACTCTTACAAACTACCTCATTTTTTAACCTGTATGAGTTACTTTGCAAAAGATTTGTCCCAAAAGATTTACACCAGGTTATTTAATTAAATGGAAACTGATAACAATATTAAGATCATAACAGACCTAAAGTAGAAACTTTAGGAGTTAGCGCATAGGACCATATCTATTCCAGTGTTGCGAAGGGATCCCTAGGACAGGTCCACATTTACAAAATGCAGTAAAAAGAGGTCTTAACATGGCTGAAACAGTAATGTAACTCATGCTGGATTAAATGACTATCTATCTGGCCCACTTCACTCAACAGGGGTTCCAGCCTACTGCTCTACTTTCAGCCAGTCACGAATAGGCTGATAAACTTTCCATATATAATACTGAAATTCAATTTTATCTTGAGTTCTGGCCTTGCTCCTGTGCCCCTCCCTGGCATTTTGCAAACTCAATTCCAAGACCGAGCAGTAACATATCACAAGAAACCGTTTGGATTTTGATACCTGTGATGGTGATAAGCACGTGGCCCAATGCAGCAAAGAGTAAAAAAGGCAAAGGCAAATGCTGGTAGGGACCAGGTCGCTATGGCAAAGCCAAACCATTCCACAATTTCTCCGAAGTAGTTGGCTCCAGAAACATAGGTGAATAGTCCCCCTGCGTTGAAAGGCAAATACATATTTTTCACAATCTCATGCACATGAAACGTCCTTTCCCATTAAGTCGGCAACAAAGCACTGTACCTCTCTTATTCAGAGCCTATAAAAGAACCAGAAAGCTCCTGGATCCCCATCCGTATTTCTCTACAGAGCTAGAGAGTTCCTAACTCACTGCTCTGGCCCATGGCCACTCTTCCTCACCAAGTCCTGCCTTGAAGGAGACAGAAAGGAAATTCTATGCCTTGCATCCTTACTGTTAATTTTTTCCCTAAGGTTTACGCATTAAATCTCCCTTTTGCAATGGAGGAAGTCCATTTCTTCTTCCCGGATGTGGAGAAAAATATTTCCTTCTTTGCAGCTGCCTTTTACTTGGCTAAAACCTCTTACCACGTCCCACTTGAATCTTCTCTAAATTACTCTACCCATTTCCTGCAATCCTTCATCACAGCTCATGTTTTCCAGACATTCTTGTTACTCCCCGTGGAGTCTTTCTGGCCAGCACCCACTAGTCCATGCCGCTCAGAAGGACATCTGGACCATACCTGAGTGAAACTGTTATTACTGCTATTATTGATTTGCTATGTATTGTTCTTCAGTTAGAAAACACGACCTGTTCTACTTTCTTTAAGGAGAAGGGGGACAAAAATATACCTTGTGGGATCTTGTAGGTGACTTCCCCTGGTTTCCTCAGCTGGCGCAGCAGGAGATCACTGTGAATATTGATCCCCATTCCAAGCAGAAATAAGAGAAGGCCTAAGAAACAGAAATGAGAAAAGGGTTAGAAAGACAGCTTCTGGTCTTTGCACTTACACCTTACACCAGAGATTTAAGCGCATTTGTTAGGTTCATTTTTGGAGCAAGCAGACATAATACCTAAGCTGAATGGGATGGATTCTTTTTCAAGAAAAAACTTGTACTTTTTAATATGCTACTGAGAAAGCTACTGAACTGGAAAAGTATAGATGAGTTATGGCAAAACAACTGTATATCGCTTTGTCAGTTGTAGGATCAGAGTCACCTGGGATCACCTGCACTGGATAGCTTCAGTGTAGAGAGCAATCCTGCACAGAAAGACGTGCACCCAGAGCACGCTGTTTTGTCAGTGAAACCTGAGCAGCTTTTTGCTGGTGTGAGAGAAAGCTGGATTTCCCACCTGGTCATATTCACCTTTTATTGAACATCACATGGGAGAATGAAGTACCTGACTGCTATAAGAGAAGGTAGAGCTGTTAAGGGTGATGGTGGTCTTTAAGGGAGGGGATATGGGGTAGGCTCCCCGGGGCAGGCAACATGGGTGTCCTCCAGAACCAGAGGGCAGGTCAACACTCAATTTTCAAGAAGGACGTGGGTCAGCATAGATATCACAGAGACAGAGACTAAAAGGACTAAAGGGTCAAGAAACATCTCTGCACATAGATTTGTAGATGCTGCGATTGTTCATCAGGTTTTTTTGCCATCATGCTTTGGTGAACTGCTACATCCCATTCTCAGCTGAAGAGCAGAGCTTGGCGCTACTGAGTGCCACCAGCCAGAGCAGGTCAGGTGAGGACAGTCCCTTTTTTGTCTGCTGAAGGGTTAACTGTCTGATGCCCCGAGGTTCCTTCTTAGGTCCCACAAGTATATTCATTAAAGATCTAGAAAGAGGGATGAGCAATGAGCAAAGCTGCACACAAAGTCCTTTAAAGCCTAGCAAGGACATATCTCAGAGATGAAAACGCAGGTGAGCAGGCAGTGTGATGGCAACTGAAATGAAGCGCAGTGAACGCAGTGAACCCAAAATAATGCAAGTTAATGGAAAAAAAACCCCACAATAATCCTACAGCATTTGGGTTCTAAATCCACATCTTCCTTTCAGATAGTTAGTGAAAAAAGACTACAACTGTAGTAAAAAAATTATTAGTAGCAGAGTAGAATACTGAATATACAGAGAAGACTGCAGTTCTCTCAAATCAGAGATACTGGCCCATCTCTTATAGTGCACTGCCCCATCTCGGGAAGACATTGCTGGCTGGGCAATATCAAGAAATGAACAGAGAAGGACATGAAAAAGTTCTCATAAAGAAAGACTGGAACTACTATAGATGTGAGAAAATATATAATATAATGAACGGTAAGGAGAAAAACAAAAAGGAACTCTCAGTTAGCTAAGAAGATTCCAAATCAATAAAAGGAAATATTACTAAATTCAGGACTTGCTGCTACCAGGGTATCTCTGAGCTCAGTCATCCAGCAGAGTCCAGGAGGGGGCTGAGCAGCTATCTGCATCTGGAGAGTCCCCAGGGATATCAGATAGCACTGGGACGGGATGGGGTGTTTGGGAGAAGGAGGAGACTAGGAAAGAAAACATCAAAGAGAAGTTGGTGCTGGAGGGAATCTGAGATTACTAACAAGATCCTGACAGCAGCTGAACAGAAAGGTAAGGGAATAGGCAAAGGATCTGATACGGAGGCTTATTTTGGGTTGCTGAGGGATAAGATGGGTACTTATCCAGAAAGGTTAGCTTAAGGCAAGAAAGGGGCCATCTGCCTTTTACCAGAGGAGAGCCCTGCTGTTGTACTTTGCCCCTAGCTTCTTTGCCAGCTGCTGCTTCCTCTTCTTCTTCCTGAGGCATCTCTTAACAGCAGGGAAGAGTGGAAAAGAGTGGCAGACAGCCTGCTGGCAGGCTGTGTACCACATTCACACTGATGACGGTCAGCCAAAGCTAAGGACGTTACCGCAGAGTAACCGCTAAGCTGCAGGCAGGTTTCATTATTCTCACATTACAGCTGGGGAAACAGGAGCACAGACAGCACAAATGTATCCAGCACCTCACCGGAGCCAGGAAGGGAACCTACACCTGAGCACGGTTGAGTTCACTGGCAGCGAGGCCTCTTGGACAGGGCTATGGGCACGTGCACAGAGCAGTTAGCTGTTCGCTGGAGATTGCTGACAGCTGCTGGCCAGAATGATTCATTGACCAGACTCCATATAGCTGCAAAACTAGAGGCATTTGACTGGGAAACTCTGCAAGTGATGTGCCCTACATTTCATGCTACGTTAGACACTGAGGAAACCATCTCTGACAACTGGGAAGCAAGAAAAGAAATAGAGATGGTGTGTGCTAAGACGAAACATAGAAAAAAGACTAAGTGCTGGTAAAACCTCACACTTCTGGTAGCAACAGAAAGTTGATAAGAGTCTGTAGAGGAAGAATACATTATTAGCCTCATTGTTTTGCTTAGAAGTTATTTAATATTTCAAGTATTGCTTATACTGATGTCCTTTTTTTGCATTGAATGTATAATTTTATTTATCTTGCAAATTGTGTGGTGTGGTGGGCGTTTTTGATGGCTATGGGAGCTATTACTAAACAACATCCAGGGTTTTTAATATGTGATGCTATCTGAAAAGAGTGAACTTGGATCCACAGCAAGAAACAGAGTACATTTCATACTTGTCACATACAAAGCATTTCCTCAGACTTCCATGTTAACCCTCATTTCTACACACGTATCATCCCTCTCTGCAGACACCATCCATGTAAGGCCACCTACCTGCTCTGTCATAGTTATTTTCTCAGAGAGTTTAGAGCGTCAAATTCAGCTAGGTTATTAAGCTATTGAATATAAAGGAACTGTATTAACATACAACCCAACTGTATGTGCTTTCTAATCTGCCCATGTGCCTTACACAAGAAAAGAGGAATCTTTTGTCTCTAAAGTCTCATTTATGCTGAGGTTTCGTCCTTCTTTTCTCTGTTAGTTAGAACAGCTGCATCAAGGGCGGGCAAAGCAAGCCACAGCCTCCACTTGCACATGGCCACTGCTTGGTAGACATTTCTGGCTGAACAAGGGCAAATCCTTGTTTAGATGGGGCCTGAGATTGCATCTCCTGAGCCCAAAGCAGCAGGATGCTCTAGTGTGGTGTCAATAAAACAAGGCTGGCGATTTGAGACTGTGCTGTGCTCATATCATTGTGTGCCTTTAACGGTGGCTGCTTAGCAAAAAATAAAAAAAAAAAGAAGGCATTGTGCATTTGGTTATTTTATCTGGGCCAGCAGGCAGGTTTTATGCTGATTTCTATCAGAACTGATCTGACTCACATGTTCAGTGAAGATTAGGACACAATTCAAAATGCTTACAAATTGCTTGGAGATTAGATCTTGGGAATCCTGCAGCTGTAATTACCTGATGTAAATCTGATGTCAGTGCACCAATCATTTGGATATTCAGCGCAGTAAATCAGGTAGTACCCCTGAAGGAAGCCATTATAGATACAGAATAACGTGCCAAAGAAAAGCAATTGCAGAGGGAAAGGTCTGCCTCTAGTGAAGAAGGGGTAAATAAATGTCCTAAGGTAGATAAGAAAACAAAGTCAAACCAGAAGAAAAATGTTAGCACATTACACATGATAACATTGTAATTGCAATTTCTCTGTTTGAGGAAGAAAATTTTTAATAAAACATAAAATATTAAAAAGGTCAATAAAGATAAAAAAAAAAAAAAAGGAAGGCAACTGTAACAAAATCAGACTAACCAACAACTACTAGGAATGTAAAATATTGCAAATACCCACATTTTACTGGTCGTTCTGGATTGAACACAGGGTGGGGAGCTAGAAATCTCTATTCCAGAGTCACCGCAGCCTTGAGAATCTCTCTGCCTTGCTTCGCCCTTGTTGGTAAGATGAGGAGCTGTGGCCCGCAAGCAGCGCTTGCATATTAAGACCTTTGCTGCCCTTCACTATAATGTTACAGAGGGCTGAGCAAAGGGGGCCACAGAGGCATACTGGCGCCCTGGTAGCGCTGGTCAAAGCGCAGTAGTGAGGGGCAGTGACATTTGCAACATTGCACCGACCTGTCCCCGAGGGCTTTCGTGCCCGGTAGAGGATGGAGTCCACGGCTTTGCGGAGACTGCTGTGGCTCTCTGTCCCCTGACGTATATAGCCTGAGGTATAATCCCCTTTTCCTGGCACATCATCTGGCCTCTCCTGCTCCTCTCACACGCCTCCCCGCTCAAGCCCCCTCCGCAGCAGCTCCGCTCTGCTCGGGTGCTTTGACACAGAGGCAGAGCAGTGTTGTTGGCTGCTGGGGGGAGCTGCTCTGCTGCCAGGCCCTGCCTCTCTCCCTGCTTTCAAACCCTCCTCTCAAATGAGAAGAGCTAAAAACCTAACTTCAGAATGCTAAATGCCAAGATTTTCATGTAGCTCCAGTGATTAGGGCTTTCTCAGGCAAAAGTTGTGCTTAGAAATTAACATTTGTAGGAGGAAATAATTTGTGATTATGTAATTTTAATTTTCACGTATCTTCAGTTCAGGTGAGCCTCTTGATTCTGTGAGCAACCTCAAATCATCCTTGGGGGAGTGAATTGGAGATGTTATATTCATGAAATTACCTGGCCAATTACGTTCTGTATGCGGTAAAATCTAAACCCTTACTGTTCTTTCTTTTGCCCTCTTGGGCTTTACATTTTGCATATCGTACTAGTATATGAGCACTACTGATAGGTTATCCACACCTCAGGTTGCCAACACGAACTAAAGTAAGCTGAGACATAAACTGTCATAGCATTACAAACCTAGCTTAAATCTTATCAAGCGTGTCTAGAAGCGAGTAAGCCAAGTACAAGCAACAACATGTTAATGTATTCACTGCTTTCCAAAGCAAGGTAAGTCAATTTTCTGGCAGTTAAGACAGTGATTGTGATGCAGAAGTGCTAAATTTTTCTAAATGTAGTGAAAGCTAAAAGGTACAGAAAATATTTTTCAGGCTGTAGTATCACATTTGTCGTATTTACTACAGCATGGAAAGGAATGCTCTTTGGAGTAATGTTACCAATTATTGCATTTGCCCTTCAGGAATGCGATGCTGGAGTTATGAGTAGGCAAGGTCAGCTTTAGCAATTAGACCTGCCTGTTGAAATAATATTGATATAGTGGATCTGAGCAATTATGAGAAGAAGTGGGAAACTTGCAAATGGAAATTTGGAGGAGGCAAATTATACAGAAGAGAGGATGATGTCAAAATCATGCATAGTGAGTTTAGAAGGACAATTTACGCAGGAGGTTGGGGTGGGACTCGCCCTTTGTCAAAAACAAGACTATTGGAGAATTTCTTAATTTTTATAGCTGATGCGAACAGATATTTATGCCACCCAGATTCCACTATTTCCAGCATGTACTGGCATTTTTCAGTTCCCAAGAAAGTTGATTGTTGCCATGATGCTTCCTGATTCTGCTGTTGCAATATAGAAGTTATATGCCCTTGCGTGATGGAGGCTTTACAGTAACAGGAGGGCAAAACTGAGACATGAACTTATCTACTGTGGATGCAGTGGATGCAGGGCAGACAGAACCTGCACGCAAAGCATAAGGACAATCTCAGGGGAGCCAGCAGGCACCAGCTTTTTTTATTCTGAGGGAGTAAAATCCTGGGGTGGCTGAAATCCTGCCTCATGGGAGTTTTGAAAGTCAAAGTCAGGATATCATCCAAGAATCTTTGTTGTGGAGCAACTTCTCTGAGGAAATCTGCTTGGGACTGTAGTTCTAAAGGCCAGATTCTGTTCTCTGTTTCTAAACAATGCCATGAAGCCTCTGTCTGAATACAGTGTTTGCCAACTTGTAGTACCTAGCTACTTGAGGGTACACAAAGCATTCCCAATAGATTTTGAAAAGGCAGAAAAGTGAGCACATTCAATAGTTTTAAATATTCCATACAAGAGTCTGCCTCTCTACTGGAATTATTTTGCAGCCTGCAATTCAAAAGAGGCTCCAAGGCCACTGTTTTAGAACAACACATCAAAAACTGGCCTTTTAGAGTTGGACCGAGGACACATTTTACCTTTTTCTTTCATTACGATATTGATGACTAATCCTTTATTCCTTTTTCATCTTTACTGGCCAAAGCTGCTGCGTCTGACTAAAGCATTGCCAACAACTTCCTTTTAAATGACTGAATAATAAATTATTCATCTTTGTTTCTGTCATTTGTTTTCCAGAAGAATAGATTTTGAAGAGAAAATTGTAAGACAATGCTCTCTGTCATTGACAGCTTGTCAAATTTCATCTTATAGATATTAGTCTAGCTTCCTTGAAAACACCAGAGACCCTCATGCAAACTGGGGGAAACTATAGCTTTGTTTTTCTTTCTACAAAAGATGCCAATCTTTTCACAAATATTATCATAATCCACTAACAGCAGGCTCTCAGCCCTCCTCCAACAACTTGTAAATTAGAGATATTTATGCAACTGCTATGCCTTTTTCTCTCCAGAGCCCAGATGCAGCAGTTCAGATAGTAGCAGCTCATGCTTTTCAGTTCAGAGGCTGTAGGTGTTTCCAGTTCTCAACAAGTGGTTTATGCCTGGGGCAACCAGGTGAGAGCTCAGGGCTAGCAGCTGGGGATGGGTGACACCTGGCTCCCTCCCATGCAAGTTCTGCATCAGCCAGTGGGACACCAGCCTACTACTGTATCTGGCCATCTAGCTCTCTGCCACCAAGCCCTCTCCAGGGGCTAATTGGGATGAATGGGGGCCTGGAATCTGAGATGTTGAGAAGGTGGGGGTCCTGATCTGCATCACTGGCCAGGATGAGCCAACTCGCTGAATGGTGCTTTGGAAACGTTTGTAAGCATTCAGGGCTCCACATACTCCAGTTCTTTGCCCGTCCTCCCCCAACACATGAAGATATAACATCAGGAAAGGTGAGGAGTCCTGGCAGTCCATGTGAGGACCCTGAGACCAGACAGCCAGACCTTCAGGAGGGGGGATGCTCGCAGGGCCCTTGCAGCCCACTTATACCCTGAGCTGACTGCATGGCCCACTGGGGCACACACTGGAAAAGCCTTCACTGAGTAGTAAGTGTGTGCATAATCATGGCAGGATCCACCCAGCCAGCTGAGCTGTGCCCCTTCCAGTTTCTGCATCACTGGAACTGTGCAAAAACATCAGATAACTACAGTCACTTGCTGGTCTAGGGCCCAGTTCTGTAAACTCCTCTTAAATCATAGTCCAGTGACTGTGATGGGGACAAGAGAACTTTCTTTTTATTTTGATCAGGAAAATTAACAGATCTAGCTAATCTAGCTAACACGAGGTTAGAATCAGCTCTCCCTTCAGAACCACATCCAAGACATCCTCCTCCCATGTTGCTCCAATGAGCTTTGGATAAACTTTTGGTCATTATAATTGAAGGGACAGGAAAGATATACATATTACTGAAACACTTACAGTAGTACAGCTGTATAAAGCAACGGTAAACATGTAATGTCAGATTCATGAATGTTATGTGATTCATCTGTTCCTAAGATGAATCCCCTTTGGGGGGATCCCATAGTAGCCCAGGTTCTGGGCTGGATAAAGACTTCCGCCAGGAGCAGATTCATCTTTTCTGGGGAAGGGACACAGGCAGGCATCTGATGAAGGGATGGGAGGACTGAGGAAATCCTGAGACAGATGGCACCATGCTTGGATTTTAGAAGTTCTTCAGAAAAAGGGCAAAGGAGAGCAGAAAGGCTCTCAGCATTGGTTTAAAACGAAGCCAGTAGAAATGAAGGAGGGTTCAGAGATGAGAGGCAAAATGAAGAGAGGCCTGGAAGGGCATTCTGAACCACTGGGGCTGCTGAATTTGGACTGGAGATAATAAGAAGAGACATAATACAGATAAAAAATAACAGATAATATTATAAATAATCTATCTGGGGGAACTGAATAGCAGCGCCCAAGAGTCTTCATGAAACTGAAAGGAAGTAAGCTGAAATGCAATGAAAAGAATTTTTTTTTTATGCAATACACAAGGAACATTGAAGTAAAGAGCTCAGTAGCACTAGGGTTTACCACAGGTTACAGACACAGGCAGGTCCTTTAATAGAGAGGAGAAAAAGTGTAAGCATTTGGAATGCACATTCATTTACATATTTCAGGGGATAAATCAAATTCCAATTAAGAGATGCAGAAGGCAGCTTCTCCCCTGGGCAACTGCCCACCATTTACTGCACTTTGAACAATTCATTATTGGCTTCTGCTAGAGACTGGATACTGACTGTGATGGACCTGTGCTCTAATCCCATATGATAACTTCAGGGTTTCATAATGTCGCATGTCTCATCTAACAACATTGCACACAAACTAAGCGAGTTAAAAATGACTGAGTAAACTCTCTAGAAGAGATAAGAGATTGTTTAACACTAGCATTTGGGAGCAGGGCTCTAGAGTGATACTCGCTGTCCCAGGAAGGCTGAAACCATAGGTGGTTGCCCTTGCAGAAACCAACTGCACCTAAGACTGACAGTCAAAGGGAATCAGCAACTATGCTTGACTTTTGCCCACTGAATCCTTGCTGCTGTATTAGAAAAGATCAGTTGCTTACAAT